CCCGTTCCCGTGAAAAAGAGGATTTCATCCCGTGGATTCACAAATGGAAAGAGAGAGAGAGAGAGAGAGAGAGCGGCGCACGCGTAATAATAACAATTTACAATTATCCCAACGCTGACTTCTGTGACCCTCGACATTTCTCCCCGGCAATTGCAAACGCGGAACGGAGAGAGACAACACTCGCGATTTGAGTCACGCCCGACAATCCGAGGTAACTTCCGTTTTGGCTTTAATTAGACCGGCAAACGAAACCACCGCCGCGCGCGCGCGCGCTGGTTGGAACGAACGTTCTCCTAATTTTGCCCATTGTCCACGTGAGTCATTCTCTCGCACTCCTGAATTTCGATTGGCTCGTTCGTTCGCGAAGAAAATTGAGGACGAGGACGTTTTCTTGCGAACACATTTTTACAAACGCCGCTTATTTGTTACATCGATCAAATGTCACGCGGGCTGGCGACTTCTTTGTTTTTTTTTTTTTTTGTTTTTCTTTTCGCGTTACACAATTGACCGGGCGCGCGGATTTCGCGCTAATCTTATTCTTTCGAATTGTAAATCGCGCGCAAATCCCTTCCCGTGTGTTTTTCGAATACGCGTACGTCTCGATAATGGAAACGATGTTGTAATACGCGAACGTTGTTTTTTCGAGAATTCCCTCGATATTATTCGGGAATGAAACACGGGGGGCAAGTTCCCTCGAGAAAAACAAAAAAGAAATAGAGACGTCGTCGTTGCCATAATTTCAAATACTTAGGTGAGCTTCTAGGATCACAACGATCTTCTTCTTCCTCTTGATTTTCTGCCAACAACAGACTGCAATCTTCCAGACTGGCGTGGAATCAGAACTCTCGAAGTGGACTATCGAACGTATCGCGGAAAGGAAGAGCTTTGTCTTGTCGATGGTGTTTCTCGCGCGCGGGCACGAATGAACGGCGTCAATCTCGTTCGGCATCAGACAATTGTGTCAAATTTTCGGACACGTATTTGCAACTTCGAACTGTAACACGTGCAACATTTATTGTTACGTACATATATATATATATATATATATATATATATATATATACACATGACGCGCCGTGTGTGTTTTATTAATTTTGTTGCAAAACGGCTCAGCGAAACGCACGTGAAGCGGTATTTAATAACATTCGCGGTTTGCGAACCGTCATGACATTACCATTTACGTAATGACGTAATTTACATTATATGAATATTTGAGCGTCCGGGTTGTAATACGTATGTATATATTTTAAAATGACGCGATGTCGCTAATTTATGTCGCTTTTCGTACGTTAATTCGACATTTCGCGTTTATTAAAAACATTGTCGCGGTCACTTTCGCGCGTAAGGCGCAAAATCAAAACGCGAATGGATTGTCACATTTCCACCGCGAAATTTTAAAAATTACAATTTTGTAATGTATAATAATGTTGTCTTTGACAACATATGTCAAGGCCATTGACCTCCAAAAAGCTGCTCCGTTTTTGTACATATATTTATCCTAACAAATTTATAATATACAATATATAAAATATATTTATTACAAATGTTTTATACGCGTTGATAATTTATATTTGAATGTTTATTTCATATGTGTTGTTGAATATTTTATGTATTGAATAATCACAAGTGTATTCTTCTACTGTCATTTATCATGTGTTTACATTCGAAGACAAAATCGTAGAAAATTTTTATGTCGCAATCGAAATAAAAGATGAAAACTCCCATTGTTTTTGCGAGATGCAACAATCAAACTACTTATCATTTGTTTATATTCGAAGAAACCAAAATCGCATAAATTCTTCGTGTTCACAATCGAAATGAGAAATCATAAATTCCATCATTCCGCGAGATGGAAACAATCAAACTTTAGATGGCACTCGCACCGCACCGCGCTTTATCGCCCCGTTTGGGACTTTATATGTGAATTTCTTCTTGCATAATATCACATTTTCCGAAAATCCAAAATATACGAAAACAAGAAAACCAGTCGTCGGTTCTCTCGCGCCAGAAATTACGTATTTTCATTCGCGCCAAGTGCGGACGTTCATTCGGATTTCATATATATTCTTGGACGTATTTTTATATCACGTGATGGAGAATCGCGCGAACTCGCGTTTTTTTTTCGCGCGATTTGTGTTTCGACGGGGTTTTATTCGCGAATCGAAGCACGGAAAAAGAGTAACGTAAGTCGTCGACGATCGGCCGGTCGACGAATTTTATGATCCTGCCTCATATGAATAAGATCGTAAATTTTTTTTACGTCCAATATCATTTGCTGTAGGTCTTATTACGAGGCGCATCTTGTCTCGTCGGACAACATGCCGACATTTTTACGTGTACTTCGTCATACGTCGTAATTCTCCTGCACGCGCGCGCTCGAATATATCCGGAAACTCCGGTTCTTTAATAGTTAATTGCAATTTCTTTCCGATTTACTTGTTCCTTTCATGTCAGACGGATAATGCAACAAGAGAGGATACGGAGAATATCTCGAGGGCGCGCTTTATCATATCCGAAAATTCTCGGAGAAAGAAGAAAGATAAAAATATATATAGTATATGTATATATACGTTTGTCGCATAACTTTTTTAACATTTGCGCATATGACGATAATAGAACTGCAAAATTAAATACATTTAAATAAACTTGCTTTGCAAAATATTTCACAACTTTATTCTATTCATAATTATTTATAAAATAAAATAAATAGTATTCAAATAACGGCTCGATGAAACAAATTACAAGAAAAATTATTATATTTATAAAACATTATTTATAAAATTATTTACAAAATCTAATTTGACAATAAAATAGTTACCAATAGAAATAAAATACGCAGCAAAGAGTTAAATTGTATCCATTATAAAAACATTCATGTGTATCGCAAAATGCGCGTTTTGATATCAAATGTATCGCATCTATTGTTGTCTCCTTTCCGCAGTGCCGATTGGTTTGTTGGTTGATCAAGTCGAATCGAGTCGAATCGAATCGGTAAGACCGGGAGAGAGTAAGTAATGACGGAAAAGCGATTTTGACAGTTCGTCGTATACGTAGAGAAAATTAAAAACGTGACTAATCTAAAGTAACAGGACAGAGTGGAAAAACAACACGTGACTAAAGTAACGTGACTGTAATTTATATTATATATAACACTAAATAATACATATACATATAATTTATTATATATTTATATTATATTTTATATTGTATTATATGTATTACGTACATACTACAGTAATGTCACTGACCTCGGTCGCGCGGCCTTGGCGGGGTCACTGACCTCAGTCGCGCGACCGCGGCGGAGTCACTGACCTCGATCACGCGACTACGATATATATATATATGTGTGTGTGTATTATATATAGATATAGAATATTATATACATATATAATATATATAATATTTTCTTGTTTACTCTTTTCCCACTTTAGTCATGTGTTGTTTTTCTATTCTCCCCTCTTCCTTTAATTTTTCGAGTTTGATTTTCACGCGTTACTTCTGACATCTCTCATATGTACATCTTGTGTATTATATTGTTTGTAAGACGTATATACCAGCTGTCATGGCGGTGACAGATTGTGTTCATTAACACAACACATTAAAATAAAATAGCGCGCGCCTGTGTTGTGTTAGTATTTATAAAAAACAAATTTAAGCATCAACTTTTATAAGTTAAAATCAAACAACGCGGTCGGATAGTTATTCTTTATACGAAGAAAATATGACAGAAAGTAACTTTTCAAAATATCAAAATTGCTGTTCAGTCAATAATTCTTCTATTTCGCGAAAAATTAGGCGAATTTTTCTTTAACGATCGTCAACTTGTCGCGACTCGTTTACATTCGCTTGAGAATTTGTTGCGCGGCAAGAATATCGGCGGTTGAGAAACTTCTCTCGAATAGAACCACCGATGTGGAAGATGTTCGGCTTCAAAGATTTTTCTTGAATTTATGCGCTCCACGATCGTCCCGTAAAGACGACGAGTCACGCATATCCATTCACCCTCGCGTGTCGTCTTTCTTCACTTTCGCATCACTTTCTTATTATATTTCTCTAATGTCGACGACACCGTCGAGATACGTCGCGCAAACATCACGTGCGATAACGAGCCGGCGCGTTTGACATTTGTTCACTCGAAATGACGAAACTCGTCAACGAGACAACACGGTGCGTCGTTTCGGATCACAATCGCTCCTCGTAGATTCTTCCAATGTGTCTTCAACGAAATCGAAGATTTTCTTCCCACGAGAAGAAACGCTCGCACGCGTACCGCGCGCGCGCGAAGAGGGCGAGCGACTTTAACGACTTTGCGAGGATTCGCTGTTCAAGCGAAAGACGCGATAACGACTTTCTAAGTGCGAAAATTTTCACGGCGACTTCGTGAAAAATTTCCGCGGTGAGCCGCGGTAATACGCGCCGCGCGGTTTATCCCCGCGCGCGCGAGTTTTTGTTCTCTCGCGCGCGTTGATGCACCGCCGACGGATTGAGAGAGATCCGCGTCGCGCATCCATCTTGCATCGCGCATTTTAATGCAGTTGCGACAGTTTACACGAAAGAAAATCTTTTTCCCGGCTTATCCCGTCGGCGACTATAAAAAAAAAAAAAGCGCACGACACACGCACGCTCTGCGAAAGGATAATTTGATCCAGGATTTTACGACGAGAACATTGAACGTAACACAGATGGGTGTGCATTACCGAAGCAAAATTTTTCCGCGTAATATTGCAAATCGGATTTTGCGATATCGATAACAGAATTTATGAAATGGGAAAAAAAGTAGATGCAGAGGGTGCGCGCGCGCCGCGTATGTATCATCCTTCCGTTCTAAATTGCTTGTTAACTTCAAGTTTGATCAGTCGGATGTTTTTATTGAATAAAACGTTGAACTCTCTCTCTCTCTCTCTTTCTCGCACACTGAGAGATAGAGAGAGAAAGAGAGAGAGAGAGCGCACGAACTCTCTAACGAACAAATTTTTTGCAAACGAATGTTTTTGTTGCAGGTCGAGATGAAAGGAATCTCCGGACCTATTGAATTTAAAGAAGGCCGCAGAATTCAGTTTAAATTGGATCTGCTGAAATTGAAACAGCACTCGCTCGTCAAGGTACGTCGTCGTGACTTATCGTGCGCAAAACAGGAAGCGCGAGCGCGCGCGCTGCGGAAGGGCGAATATAATAACGGACTACGGATATGTATGTATATATACATTACTGTGTGTATATAAAATATATTGTATGTGCGAAACTAGGTCGGCGAGTGGCGTCCCGGCGTCGGCGTCAATGTCACAGACACCGCGGCCTTTTTCGAGCCTGGTATCGGCAACGTGACGCTGATCGTGATCACTATATTGGTGAGTCGCCGTTGGCGAGCACTTGTTATTTTCGTTGTGTTTCACGCAGCCTTGTTGTGATATTTGTTTCAAATTGTTGTCAAAAAAAACAAAAACAAAAACAAAAACAAAAAATTCAAACCTATCTGTCGAATAAACGAGGCTAGAGAAAAAAACGCACGTGAACAACGTGCGAGATCGATTTGTCGCATAATGCGTTGACTGTTTCAACTCTCCGGCACCGATCGTCGGTTACCTTCTATTTTGGAAGAGAGCGAGTTCGAACGAACGCGCGAAACAGAATGGTCGTTGAAAAGTTTCCTCGATATGGTCGGCGCCAACGTGTCTCTCGTCATAAATTTCGCGTTTTACGGCGGTATCTCAAAAGCGTTTTCCGTTATTCTTGCATGGATTCGCCCAATTCATTCCGCACGGGACACACACGCCGGTGATGCGCAGGAGATGCCGTACGTGATGATGCACCACGAAAAGAACTACACCGGGAACTCGCGGTTTTACGGTTTTTGCGTGGACCTTTTGGCTGCGGTGGCGAAAGAGGTGGGCTTCTCGTACCGGTTGGAGCTGGTGCCGGACAGGAAGTACGGCGCGCGGGATCCGGAAACCGGCGAGTGGAACGGCATCGTCAGAGAGCTCATGCGACATGTATGATTTTTGGTTTGTTTGTTTCGTTTTCTTCTGTCTGTAAACTTTTTTTCTCTGGTCTATCACCGCCCCCCCCCCCCCTGTTCCTGATGAGCACTCACTCGCGCGATCTCTCACCGAGTACACTGTCGCTAGAAATTTATATCGATTGACTAACTCTTTAGTCGCTGCGAATTACCGCTTTCAGCATTAGTTTAAGAAAAATTTTGTCGATAGTTTTTAGTTACTTTGACATTTTTTTTTTTTTTTTTTTTTGGTTTTATAGGAAAATTGCGGTAGTGACGCATTCAGATCGTCATTGATGATCGGAGATTCGCAAACGTTGCGGTCACGATGCGCCAATAATAATAACGCGCCATGGGCCGACCAATATTTGAAATTGAACTACAATGACCTGATTGTACCTCGCCAAGTAATATTCCATTAATTATCTTGTTCCAATTTGTCTCGTGTGTGTGTGTGTGTGTAAAGCCACGTAATAATTTACACTAGTTTGCTGTTCGTAATTTTAGATTTATGTAAAAAATACACGTCAACAGTTATAGAAATCCTGCGCGTGTGTTTGCGGCTTTGTATAGTTGGTAATTTGTTTTTTTCCTCATCATTTCGAATCTCATTACAGTCTCTTTGTGCATCTAGTTACATTTCTGTTATGCTGAACCGGTCGAATCTATCCTCCTAGTAACTCATAGTGATCAATTACTCTGGTATCTGTGCTCATGGTATTGTGGGAAGAGGAGCTCTGCGCCGTGTAAAGGTAAATCATAATGCACGTCGAAACACACGTAGCATCGGCAATCCGCAAATGCCAGTCAACGTGAAATAAGATCGTAAATCGATCAATAGCAAGTTTAATTACTAATCGCGCTTAATGCATATTTGGTGGCGAGGCCCACGACGAGGTCCTCGCCATTAAGCTGGAACGGATCTTTTGCGGTCGCAAAAATTTCTCCGCGGATTTTCGTTTCAGAAAGTTGAACATAAACAAATTAACTTCTTATTGCTAATTTAATACTCTTGTGTTATTTTTATTGCGAGAAACGTATGAATAAATGGTTGAAATAAATATATTACGCATGATAACAATTTTTGCTCGCGCAAATTTCAAACTAACAATTAAGGTCAATACGAATGTACATGTAGTGGATGTTTGTGCAATTATAAATTTATTTTCTAACTTTCCTAAATTGTGTAAATTAACACGCGTCAAAATTCGAATTAAATTTAATTCGAAAATTCATACAGGATGCCTCTGTTTTGCATCACGAATATGTGAAATATCCAATTTACACTTGCTGTGGAAATTAAAAAATTCCATTGCGAAAAAGACACCTCGGTCAGAAGTCAAATCCGAATCTCCTGCAGAATATTATGCATAATATATACATATGCGTATTAATAATTTATATAAAAAAGATAATACTTTTGTGCAAATTATTATTTTTAGTCGATAACGCGCGCGCGCGCGCGCGTTATTCGGCTGCGTATAAGGGAATTTTGTTAATAAACGAATTATATACGAGAGATGAACCATAAAATTGGTTGTCGGATCTCCAAGAAGCAGCTTGCGCACATTATTCAATATTTATTAAATAATTTATTTAATAAATTTATTTAATAATTTATATCGTGACTGCGATGTAAACGCAAAGCTCTTCAATGTGAACGCAAATATCAAATTGCAACTTGATATTTTAATAGCAGAGATAACAACGTGGTTGATTAAAAATACTGGTAAACAGATGACGGATGATAAAATATCGTTTGTTGTAATAATAACGTAAAATATGCGCGAGAGCGAGATAAATTTATTTCTTATAAATGTTATTTGTGCCAGGTACACGCGAAAATTGTGTTTTGTGATCGCGGACTTTGAACAGGCAGTAAATTATTTAGCAATTATCTCGTCAATACTTACGAGGTAACGTGCATGTCGCTTTATAATTACGGGCGTGTTGGTTGAAATTTGGTGCGCCCTTCCCCCTTCTCCCCTTTACCACCGGTTTCACGTTAAATCTTTCACGCTCTTACGGCTTCGCGCTTCACGTACTTCTCCGCTTTATTCAAGATTCATGAATTATTCAAAGAAGAGTTAAAAGTGGCCGTGCGCCACCATCAAGAGAGACTTGGCTTTAAATTAATTTTATATCACGTCTTCTGTCTTCTAGGTTGCGGTCTTTACCGTTTCGCGCTCGTACATATATACGTAGCGTGCGGGCGCGCAGTGTATTTAGGCAGTCATTTACAAAGGCGTCAACTTTAATCGGATTTTTTGTCTGTGTTTAATTTACAAAGCTACTTTCTCCTGTTTTACGCGCGATGTTTCTTTTTTTTTTTTTTTGTGAGATCTACGAACAAATATTTGTTCGATGTGCAAAAAATAATATTTCGCTCGCGGGAGTTTTTTAATTTCCACGTGAGCCGGAGAGAAAGGGAGAAAGAGAGAAAGAGAGAGAGAGAGATTTTAGCTTTATTTTTACGCGCACGTTCGCGCAGCTTATTAAATCATATATTTGAGTTTTCAAGCAGTTCTTTTTTCGTATGCATATGTATGTAACACGGTACACGTGCGTGTGTGCAGTTTTGTTTTGTTTTTGCAAGCGAACAGAAGACATACATCATGCATGTGTATAAAACATGCGTCTCTTTGTTGTTCGCGTTTGTAATGTATAAAAATAATGACAAGCAGATAATGAAGTTAACGATGTGATATCATGTAAAATTGTATCATATAAAATGAGATTTAAATCTCTCTTTCTCTCTCTCTCTGTCTCTTTTTTCCGGTAGGGAATTAGCGCGCTCTCTTTCTGACTTTTTAGCGCACATATCGCTTTTCGACGCAGTTTAATTAATACGCGCCGAACTATATATATATATATATAGATAGTACATTAATTCGGTCGAAATTCTCATATGCGACCCGTAAATATCAAATCTGGTCGACGTGCCCTCTAATTAAATCTCTCCACGTTTTCGCCATAACGCAGCCGGCCACGTTGGACCCATTTTCATCTAAAATGGCGAAAAGCTTCATGAAGTAAAGTTACTTTATTACGTTTCAAGAAGCCGATTTAAATTTAAATTTAAATCTAGACCGCACGCGCTCTCGTGCGCGCGCGCGCGCACGCTCCGAGTTTTCAACACTCTGTAGATCCTGAATATACGACGACTGCCGTGATAACGCGCTCGCACCTGAAAACAGTCTTTTTGTCTCTATGTCGCGCATATATACTCCTTCCTCCTTCCAGCCCCTCCCTTCTCTCGTTTTGTCCTAAGGATAATATTTGCCCGACCAGAACGAAGTTTTCTCGCGTTCGTTTGTTTCACCCGATACACTCTGCAATTATTGGAATTCGAATAATTTTTCCCGTTCCTTCTTTGCTTCTCCGTTTTTTCTCCCCCTCACCCTTTTCCCTTTGCAAATTTCCGCGAAGATCGATAATACGAGCGCGCCGTATCCGGTATTTAATCCATTATTTTTTTTCGCGTGAGAGAGAGAGAGAAAGAGACACAGAGATACGTACGCGTGTGTTTACCAAAAAAAAATCGTCTTTCTTTGTGAAACGCCGCGTAAACAAAAATTATTATTGCGATGAAGATGTGAAATTAGAAAATTTTATTCTCTGCGAAACAATTTTATTCTAAAACATCATACGCGATAAGACTGTCAGGCCAATAGAAGTCCACAAGCACAAGTTGTATTGTTAATTATCGCAGTGTGTATTATTAATTATCAATATGTATATTTGGTAAATTACAATTGCAAACGCTTAAAGTTTCGGTCAATGCAACTACGGTGTCACAGGATACAAATGTAAAATTGCAACATAGATGGATCGTTAAAAGATGGAAACGAGGTAAAAAAAAATCAGTTGCTTGCAATAAACTCTTATTGGCTTATCAAAGAGAGTCTCGCTATTAAAAAAAAAAAAAAACGCCACTTTAAAAACACTTATAAAACTCGGAGCCGTTACATATTTTATTATTCACTTTTACGTACATCTACATGACAAAGTGAGTTAAATCCGCGCTACTGAACTACTTATCTAATAATTCTCGACGAGAAAAATCCATCTTGCCTCAACTTTCTCCCATCGATCATATTATCAATGCGTAAATCGGGGGAAAAAATTGTCAGCGATACGATATTTATGCCAAGTTATTTCGGATCTTTCTTTTTTTTTTTTTTTTTTATTAGGATTGAAGACGAATGAGAGCCAATATACAGAATCTTAGTGTATTAATTTTTTAATTATAGTTTATTATTTCACCAAACGTTTCGATCCTCCGTTTGAATTTTCTTCAGTGGTTAACTGTGAATATAACTAAAATAATATAAAAAATAATAATAATATAAAATAATAAAACTAAATAAAAAATAATAACCAAAATACAAATAGTTAATAATAATTATTTGTATTGTCTCTCTCCCACATTCAGTTAACCACTGAAGAAGATCCAAACGAGGGATCGAGACATTTGGTGGAATAATAAACTAATTTTAAAAAATTAACACACTCTGAGATCCCGTATATTGGCTCTCATTCGTCTTTAATTCCTAATTCTAACTTCTCAAGAGCTTTTACATTTATTTTCTTTTTTCTTTCGCTCATAAAATCACAATATAATCGTCGAGACGTGGGAACGGAGGAGAGAGCGAGTCAAACTTGGTGAGTACCTTCACGCCCCCGTTAATCGATACGCGTCTCGCACCTGAGGCCTACGGCGCGGAAACTCGTCATGCACATCTCGTGGGAGTGTTCGACGTAATAGACTATCGAAGAGCAATCCATTTAGCCGGTAATCAGTATCGAGAGGACTGTATCGAGCCGCGCTCGCATTTCTCTCTCTCTCTCTCTCTCTCTCTACCTCTCTTCGTTTGTGCGTCATGCAAAGTGCAGACATACGCGAACACACCCGGGAACGCCGTCGTAAATACCAATTAAAGCTGTCCACGCCGCCACGAAGATGCACGACCTGTTATCGTTCCACTCGGTGGTGCGTTTCGGCACTTCCGACAACTCTACACCGCGTGACGGTGTCACTTTCACGTAATTCATAGATAGCTTGTTTCGGATGCTGGAAAACACGTTTCTAGCCGATGTCACGCGTTCTCACGTTGCCGTGAAAACGTGATAAGAGACATTACGGGATATATTTTTGGTTTTTTATTTTTTTTTATTTTTTTATTTTTTTTTTTTTTTTGGTTTTTTGTACGAGCACATCTCCTTTTTCCGTTTCATTCAACTTACTTTGAAACGCGCACAAACAACCCCGTGCGAAATTATCTCCGCGATTATTACAAAACACGTTCATCTATTATTCTTTAATCAAGCCTGGCGGCGTTTATCTCTCTCTCTCTCTCTCTCTCTCTCTCTCTCTCTCTCTCTCTCTCTCTCTCTCTCTTTCTCTCTTTCGGTGGTGCGCGGAAAAACACCGAAATTCTCTTCTAATCCCGAGAACAGAAGCCGCAAAACTCGATCTTCGTGCGCGCGCGTTTCCCCTTCGGCCAGAGAGAAAGAAAAAAAGAATGTTAGGGTACATTCAGGCCGTAAAATTGTTCCACGTGAACGCTTTATCGTTTGGCGCGACGTTTCTCGTCGCCGACCATACCGAACGAATTCGCGGTTCTCCCGCGAAAGATACGCGGGGCTTAAGCAAAATAGGCGGGAAAACTGACGACCGGAGAGACGGACGGAAACAGTGCGACGGGGAAAGGAGAGAGAATCGCGGGGAGAAAAGAACCGCTTGTGAAAGCTCGAGCGAGAAAGATCCTCTTTTTTTTTCTTCTTCTTCTTTCACGATCCCCATAGGAGCAGCCGTACGTAATGCTGAAGAGCGGCGGCAACTACAGCGGGGACGAGCGTTACGAGGGCTTCTGCATCGACCTGCTGAAGGAGATAGCGCGCATGGTGGGCTTCGCCTACAGGATCGAACTCGTGCCGGACGGCAAGTATGGCGTTTACGATTACGAGACCGGCGAGTGGAACGGGATAGTGCGCCAGCTGATGGACAAGGTGAGTGTAAGCGACAAGCGTGGGTGTCGTGTAAGCGGGGAGACACAGACGATATGTCCCTTACGCACGTATCGGTAACAGATCGGTAACTGGCGCGGACACGGCGATTTCTCGTTCGAAAAACGAGCGAAACAATCTCTTCTTCGATCTTTGGTTTCTTTTTTTTTTTGTTTTTCGCAAGTTGATTCGTCGTGATCGTGACAAATACACGATCAGATTCGCCGAAAAGATGATGGAAGTTGACATCGAGGGAAGAAGCACCCTCTTTCCTCCCTCTCCTTCCGGTACAGGAAGGCATTAATCATGCAAATTGACGGTCGACATTCCCTCGGACGCGATACGCGGAGAAGGAAATGTAAACCCCCGCGATATCGGAGACCCGACCTGATTTTGCCCGGGGGTTTCGATCACAGAGCGAAGCGAGCAGCGCTGGCGTAGCGCACTTTGCGCTAAACGCCGCAACCACCCGTAGGCTTAGCGCCGGATGCTATATCGCTTTTGCAATTCAAATCACGAACGGATGCGACACCGCGTTTCACGAAAGCGTGAAACTAACTCCCTCTTCCACCCCCTCGTCCCTCCTCAACCCTTCCCTTCTATCCCGGGCCTACTGTTGCCTTTGCCTGCGCGCGCGCGTCTCTCCTATTTCAAGTAAGCACACGCCCGACCGATTAGGTGCACCGCGCGCAATTCTGCCGAATTTCAATATCCCGCTGACGTTTGTAACAGATGCAACGTACAGCGATCGCACGCGCGCGCGCACACGATAACAATGTCAACTTGCTCGCGCGCTGCAAACACCCGGCGGGTGTAACAAAGACAACCCGCCGCACAAAAGAGAGGATAACATATAGGGGACCAGGTAATTCTCTTGTTTTTTCTTAACTTAAACACACTTGTATTATATTGTAAATATTACGTAATAATCACAATTCGTATTACATCGCAGCGAGATAATATCATCACCGCCAATTTCGCGCATCGCACTCTCTTGCACCAAGTAAAACGAAATCGTAGAATTTGAGACTACTCCCTCTCCCGGCTTTTGTACATACATGCAATTGTGTGCGCAATTGATTCGATCTCGGTAGCGATCTCTCCGTAAAACTTGACACGGATTTGATCCCGCGAAAATTTTGAGCCGAACAACAGATTGGGTCAACTGTGAAAATTTATGCACAGAATTCGAACCCCCGAATTCGGACTTCCCGCTCGTTGGTTCGGAATTAATTAATTAGTATCTTAATCAATATTAGAGGAATTTCGCAAGATGATTTTTCTCAGTTCAGATTGGCCCAGTCTGTGACACACTTCGGCCGTGTCAAAATTTTTGTCAGACTGTGTATATATATGTGTGTAAAATAAATGAAAAGAGAGCCGCAAACCGGGTGTTTGTGTTTCAAGAACTCAAAGACCGAGTTCTTCCTACTTTAATCGAGTCACTGAAGAAGAAGATTCTGATAGGGATCGAAACGTCGTATCTTCGAACAAATCCTTGAAACACGGACACTCGGTGTGCGCGGCTCGTATCGGTTCTCTTTCTATTTTTTGTATTTCACGAACGCAAAAAATATATAATGTGTGTGTGTGTGTGTGTGTGTGTGTGCGCGCGCAAAACGGCGCGGAAGTGTTTTCACGAATGAGAATTTTGTTCAATGGAGGAAGAGGCCGGTCCTCGCTCGCGAGTTTTCTCTTCATTTTTTTCTCGACGAAGAGAGAGGAAGGAGGAAAGGGAAGAACTAAGTAGGATGTAACTAGCTTGTGTATCTCTAGACCGGGCGCGGATATCTACATTCCAGAACTACTACTTTCGCCATAAATCCTGAACTTCGGGATTGGGTTTTAGCATCCCGGGAACCCAAGGGCGCACTTTTATCACGATGAATAATGTATATTAGCCCGGTGTGTGTGCGTGTAACAAAGAAAAACCGTGTGCGCTCTCTCTCTCTCTCTCTCTCTTGTATAGAAATAATTTAATTCCGCGCTTTTCGATGTAACACGACGAGAAAGAGAGCCGGGCGTAATACAGTCTTTGGCTTCGCCGCCGCGAAAAGCGTACGCGGTCGGTTTTAAACCAAGACGAGAGAAACCGCCGAGTGTGTCTTTTTTTTAGCGCGCGCGTTTCCATTTAATTTAAACAAGAAATAGCGCGGGATTCAAGGACCCGCTTGTATCTCGTCATTGGTCCATCGCGCGGAATAATCGCGTTTTTAAACTTGCGGACGAGATATAGAGAGAGAGAGAAAGAGAGAGCGCGAATTACCGCGTACGCGATGTAGTATATTAATTCGTTTGATGAATGCCGCGTTATTGAAAAGCGTTTGGCAATATCGATGTGTGTGCGATATGACGAAACGTGCGCGCGCGCGCGTAAACGCACACGGTGCGGGCATTGTGAGAAATCACGATACGAATACGCGGATTATCGCTCGCTCTTTCGTCGGGACCCGCGCGCAGACCCGGCGAACGTTACAAAACGAGCGGCACTATGTTATCCGGACGGAGGTATTAATTTTGTCAGATGATCATTAATAATTCTCGCCTCGCTGCGCAGTCGCCACCCTCGCGACGAAACGGCGGCGGCGACGGCGGCGGCACGACGAAACCGAGAATGGAAAAATGATGATAAACAGCCGACAGCTCGTAATACGCCTAGGAAACCGGCGTCGTATTTTAGAGACTTAAACGCAGTTAAGCGTCTTGGTTCTGAGAACCAAGAGAGAATGTCCGAATTTTCACGAGAACGTCAAAGCGAAATCTAGTTTTCTCGAGAGAAGAGGCGAGAGTATGTTGCATTTCTATAGCGATCGGTGAGAGACGTTCACTATGATGAAGATACCTAACTCCTAACAGCCCGCGATATAAGAAAGACACATAAATTTTGTTTTCTTTTTTTTCAAAATATTAAAAGTCATTTTTTATAAAAAGAAAAATATCATTAAAAAAAACACGTATATGCAATTGAATGAAAACGCGTGCGCGCGTGATTGCAATTTGAACGCAACAAGTTTCATCACGCTGACACAACAAAATATGCAAAATGTCACGCGAAATATTAATTTCTCGCCACGCGCGAATTCTCCCGAATACAGAGAATGATACATCGATATTCCATTTTTATATATGAACACGCTTTGATAAATGGGATATCGTTTGTCGACTCGCGCATCCCTCCCGTGGCGGGGGAGGGCGACGAAAAGCTCAAAAATGAATGAACGAAATGAAAAAAGCGAGAAGCTCTCGTCCGCGTCCAAGCGCCATCATCGGTTATGCGTTATACGGTCAATATATTAATCGCGAAAATTTTGACAGAAAACATAAAATAAACAACGCGACAAACACAATACGCACGCGCGCACGAGCGTAATATAAAATTTATCTGCGCGCGTTTATAATGCCGAAATTTTGATATCGCTCTCTCTTTCCGGCACATTATCTCTGCCCGCTGCTTTAAACCGAAATTTCTGGCGTTCTCCCCTTTCCCCTCGATTTTGTTTTCTCTTCCCCCTGCGGGGAAACATGTCGATGCGTGAAAACAACATCGCTCGTACATTCATAAACGATTGACGGCGCGCGATACATCGCCGGTGACTCCGCAATGGCGCCGCGGGCTGTCATCGCAGCGGAGAACCGTCCCCCGCAACAAATTATCACGACCGTCATTCCACGGTCTGGCAACACCGACGACGGCAGGGGGCGATGAGAGAGAGGGAAGGGGAGAGGGAGATGATTCGCGTAAATCACACGCGAATTAGCGAAAATTTCGAAATATCTTTCGCGCGCGGGACGAGAGGACACCCCGGAGGGGGCGCGCGATTTTACACGCGACGTCGATAACGAACGTTTCGGGCTGTCCATCGCGCGCGTAAAACACAACAGACGCGCGTCGTCGAAGCGCAACACTCGCTTGTGCGAACTCGATTCGACGGCCGATAATTCATTCGGCGTTCATAAAGCAACAAACCGAGGCTTTTCATAAACAAATGATTGAAAGTTGATTGATTGAAAATGATGTTGAAAGTTGGTATTCTATTTTGCACAAACTCGACAACAATTATATTTACATGTAAAAAAAAACATTTATATTTGTCGAAAGCGAAACGCGAGATAAATGTTCGAATAGAGAATGCGAATACGATACAAGTAATAAGCGTGGTATTTAATTAAAATAATGATTTTTCATAGATGATTTTTCGTTTTACAGTTTTGCGCTTGAATAAATAATATAAATGTATACAGTTCGAAATGAACTCGAGTGCGGTTTAGTTTTTCAAATAAAATCCATATCACACCGAAAAATAAATCGGAAGAAACGGGTCGCGTGTAAAATTTCTACACACGCGTGATATCGAGTCGCGGCGGCAACCCTCTCTTTCTCTCTCTCTCTCTCTTTCTCTCTCTTCGAAATAGATACGTGAGACAATGAAACAAAGCGTGACCCAGCAACCATCGCCAGCCGGCGATGGAAATTGGCGTATTCGCGAATATGAGAAGAACATGCGGCGGCGGCGGCGGCCTGAATCGCGTTTTCACGACGTCGCGCAATAAAATCGTCGCGTAACGTGTACAATCACGTGTATAACGGGAAATATGTGAAGCACATATATCGCGGAGTAGCAAGTGTACGAAAAGAAAAGAGATTTTTCCTCTCCGGTTTCGGGGAGCGCGCTTATAATGCCCAGAGATAGAGGTATTATTCGCGTGCAGCGCAAGCCGGAAATAAATCTGGCCGAACTACTGTCGCCTCGCGCAGACGCCGCTGAAAAAGCAGTTAGAATACGACGGCGCGGAAGAGTGCTGTGCGCGTACACGCGCTCTTCCGCCGAGTTCGAATCGGAGGAGCGGACGTTTTCACGTCAGCTGTTCCTCTTTTTTTTTTTTTTTCTTTTTCACAAACTCAATGACGAATCTCTCATTCCGTCTCCGTCTCTTTGCAGAAGGCCGATCTCGCCGTCGGCTCGATGACGATCAACTACGCGCGCGAGAGCGTGATCGACTTCACGAAGCCGTTCATGAATCTCGGCATCTCGATCCTCTTCAAGGTAAATAAAGGTCTTCGGTCAGAGGTAAGTCCGCGTGGCGGTTCGCACTCCTCCCTCTCCCTCTCCTCCCTCTTCCCCCGCGTAACTCGTTTCGCGTCGAGACGAATTACGAGTTAAACGTCGGATAGTGCACATCTCGCGTTGCACGCCGGCAATTATCTTCGCGTACGAGAGATCACACTCGGAGAGCAAGAAGCGAGGAGGCGTTTAAACGAGCTAACTCTCGCGTGTAAACCATCCGCAATCCTGTCCCTCCCCCCGTTCCGTCCCTACGCCTCGTCCCGGCGCGCGAAATGGCGCCACTCTGATAGCTCTCATATTTTTATTTCGTTCATACATATCCCGGCGCATTGTTGCCTGCCGCGGATCTTGATTCTTTCCAGCCCGTCCAGCTTTGTTGGCGCTTTTCTCCTTCCCTCTTCCCCACTCCCTCCCCCCCGTCCCGCGTATTTTTCCACGCCGCGCGCATCTGTTATTCTTATTCGCTTTTTTCTCTTCTCTTCCCCGTCCCCCCCCCTCCCTGCGTACCAACTCTCTCTGTTATTGTTAAGCTATTTTTTTTATTTCCCGAGCGCGCGGCTCGCACTCAGGAATCGACGCGATGAGAAAGAGAGAAAGAGAGAAAGAGAGTCACGTCGAATAATGTTTCTGTCGATATTTCGTCCGGCTGGTTTTGGTTGTTTTTTTTTTGTGTTTTTTTTTTTGTTTTATTCTTATATATATATACGTGTCCGACACGCGAAGTGAAGCGGATGATGAAGACAAGCGCGATTTTGTGCACGGCTTCTCTTCTCTCTCTCTCTCTCTCTCTCTCACTCTCTCTCCGAGTTTATCTCCCAAGCGAGGGATAATTTTATCTCAAGATAATGCCGTCAGTAATGGAAAGCCCGCTATCCATATGACTGTAATTCCGTCTGACTTTAGTGCCGCGGCTGACCGTAACCGGGTCTTATCTACTTGCCCGTGAAACGACCATCGGTTGATAACGCTCGCGCTCATACATATATATATATATATATATATATATAATACAGCCATATATTTCACCAAAACAGTCAGTTAACAGTTATAGGTGTAAGTACTTAGCTTAGTGCGTAAGTTGCTCGTAGCAATTACTTGAGAGAGAGAACATTCAAAAACTTCTCTCGCGCATCAAACATCTCGGCGCGTCTTCCCGATGTTTCGTTCCTTCAACGAGACCTAGATATTTGTGTTTGTGTTCACAACAGCTCTGCGATATTACGGACGAAATTTTACAGTAACAAACATTTCTCACGTGAAGCAATCGCGCACAAATCAACGGTTATTTAAACGAAAAGAAGTTGATTTGAACGCGCAAAATATACGTTTACGCGTTATTTTCAAATGTTATGTAATTTTACAACAATTATTATTCGTCGCGTTAAAACGAATAAATAATTGTCCGATGCACCTTCGATAAATTCGATGTCCTCGTTAATTGGGTTCACGTAGGGTACAATATATTGTATAAGATACAAACGTCGCGTCATACAGTAATTTCCTGACGCGTCTGATGACGACGATGCATTCGCGCGCGCACGCGCGCATCAACGTGCACACGTGCGTTTCCGCTTATAATGGGACAGCACGTGTCACGGGGTTTATAGAAGGGTGAGGCGGACTAATTAGAGCTCGCTCGCGCAAGTGATGGCGCGTAGATGATTTAATAATCGGAACGCATCATCGATCGCCAGCTTATACACGTCGAAGTAGCGAACCAGTTAATTCGATATTTGTGTTTGACGAACCGCGTTTTCTCTCTTCCCGCCTCACTCTCTCTCTCTTTCTTTCGCGCGCGCGCGCGCCTGAGTGAATTTTCCCAGAACTCATTATAAATAAAGCTCGCTAATTTAATCTAATCTCTCTTTCTCTCTCTCTTTTTTTCTCTTCTTCTCTCTCTTTCTTTTCTCCGCTACTCTAGACTCCCGACCATCTCTTTCCTCGATTTCACTTTATCATTTGTGAAGCTTTAATTATTCTCATAATGTCTCAACGAGGGAGGAAAGGGTGGGAGTTTCTTCGCGGATTCCTCCCGCGGCGCGATCGATTTCGTCGAGCGACAAGCACGACGAGGGGAATCCCTGCCGAAGTTTCGACTCGCGCTAAATAATTCGAGATGCCCGGATCTACGGGAGTTAACTTCGCCGGGGCAGCTGCACTTTATGCCGGTAACGAGTGGCGGTGGGATTCGCTTACTCCGAAGTTAATAATGGTATTGCCCGGAACGATACCGGGCGGTGGAGAAGTTAATTTCTCGAGCTTTTGTAATAAAATTTTCGCGACGACGACGACGACGACGACGACGACGAGATCGCTCCGGCTTGTGCCCGGGGTCGCTTTTTCCTCCCACCCTTTTCCGCTCATCTCTAATTTCTCGGCTTTTCGCGGAAAACTCGATCGGACATTTTGACCGGCGAAATTTACGGGACGGTCGTTTCCGCGCGATCTTCGCTTTTGTTAATTTTTTTTCTCTCCTTTCTTCGTCGGCGTTTTGTTCGTTTGTGCGCGCGCACTTTCGCTACGTTATCTTTCTCTCTCTCTCTCGCTCTCTTCTTCGTCTCTAGGAAATAAAGGTACAATACAATTTTCTTGAGTCCATTCCTCTTGCCGGTCTTTTTTCACTCTCGCCGTCTTATCTGACCGCCGCGTTGCGTTATGCAGCGGAAAAGAATCGACGTTATCATTAAACGCTTTTGTTAAAATAATCGCTAAATAATAGAGAAATGCGCGATTATCTCAACGCGAATCCGATAAAATTCCATTTCCCTTGGAGATTGATGAATCCGGCAAATTTTTAATTAGATGTTATTTTCGATAATACTCGTTTCTTGACACGAACAAAAATTTCTTAGAAATTATACAATTTCATTTTATCCCATTTATATTGTTGCTGACCGAATTTAACGGTAACGTTTATGCGCGGGATTCACGCGTAAATTGTGAAACGCAAACCCGTTTGCGTTAATGTTCCGTATGTATTTGCATAATTGTTGCGCATAAATAATTAACGATAACAGCGGGTATTCGACACGGGTACCAATTGTGTAAACCGTCTCTCGTTCAAACATCTTCCTCGATGATGGATGTTTGGAACTGACTTGGAAACGAAATTGTTCATCCCGATTCCCGACGGCGCGAGTCGGTACTTGATTAATGAAGATAATTTAAGCGAATTCAACGAAGCGATAGGAATATTCTATCGCGAATGACTGCGGAATTAATAACAGACCGTGTCGTGCGCGCGCGCGCGTCTTACTCGAAGAAGAGTTCTCTCGAAGATCATTCAGTCGCGTTAATCTACGTCGTCGAGAGATCGATGTGTCAATAAAATGATGAAACACGCGCCCGGTGTTGTGACACGTCACGCGACAATAACGGAAATAACAAACACAAATAATTTATCAAATGTAATTAGGAGTCAGAGACAGCCAAAGTTAGTTAATTATTTATCGAGTCGTAATTATACGCGGGAGTTAATTCGCGGATTAATTCTCGTCGCGCAATTACGCGAGATTCACAAACGGCGAGGTGTGAAAAACGCGAATCTTCCTCTCTTCCTCATTAATTGATTAAACCGAACTAAAGCGGCAGCCTTCTCGCTGCCGTTGATGATGATAACTCGCCTTCCAATGCTGAGAACTCGTTTCCGCTCTCGGGAGATATTTTCCTCGGGCGAGCGTATAAGAAGGAGAGCGCGTCTCTTTTTGCTGATTGCACCAATCGACCGACTCCGCTCTTTCTAATTAATATAAAACGATCATCCACTTGCAATTAATGTTGCAGCCGCCGGCTGGCTCTTACCGTAAAAGCTGTTTCGTCGCGATTCCGCACGATCGCCCTATTCGCCGTCGGATAACGCGATAAAACAATTAGCTAATTGTTGGAAATTTTTCAAACGATTGCGAATTTTGAACTGTTTAGATGCGCGTGCGAGAGATAATTATTTGAACAAACACTCAAATAAGTGTAAATTTCACTTCAGTTACGGTCTCTCGCTGCTAATTACCATCAAGCATGATCGATTTCGATATTATTACATCGACGCGCTAATTGAGATAATTAAGATCTGTTAAATCAAGCGTGCAAAAACATTTCTTTCTGTTGATTCATCATTTACACATATTAGTTTGATAGATATTATGTTGCATTAATTATCGCTATATATTATTGCATAATGCATTTCGGATTTGTGCGTAACACAATAATGACAGCTACTGATTTTGAAATAAAATATCGATTAAATAAGTGGGAAATAAAACAAGTGCCAAAATTTCCAGCAACAATTGTTTTACAATACTAGCGCAACACAGGCGCGCGTTACGCGCACGACTATTATTGTTTTTATTTTAACGTGTTGTGTCAACGTCACACAATCTGTCATCGCGATGACAGCTGGTATATACATCTTGCAAAACATATAATACACACATGAGAGAAATAACGAACATCAAACTCAAAAAATTATGAGAGAAATGAGTGAAAACTCAACACGTGACTAAAGTCACGTGACTTTCTTTTAGTCGCGTGTCTTTAAAACTGTGAATGATGAAAGTATAATCACGTGTTGTTTTTTCTCTCGTCCCTGTCACTTGACTTTACTTTAGTCACGTTTTTAAAGACACGTGACTAAAGTACAGTCGCGTGACTTTAGTCACGTGTTGTTTTTTCTCTCTTCTCTTCCCCTAATTTTCGAGTTTCATTTTTATATCTTAGTTTTGACATTTCTCATATGTGTTAACATATGGTTTGTAAGACGGTCATGCTTTGTTTTGTTTTTTTGTGTGTTGGCGAGTACTGTGACATTTCAATCCGATTTTTAATCGTACGGTTAAAAGGAAGTGTTCTATTTATGTATTTAGTTTTTATTTTTATTCTTTATTTATTTATTACATCTCTCGGAGTTTTATTAGTTGACTTTCTATGTTACATTTCTGACTTTTGATTTCTATATTTTGACGTTTTTATTTTACATATTCACATTTCGACTCTATTCTTTTGACTCAAAGCTATCGTTCTTATTGACTACTTTTATGAATTTCGCGTATAAAAGGTACTGCGGTGTTTCTTGATTCGTACGACATGAATTGAGAAATATTCAATCAGCGTCGAGATAAACGCGGCAACAATCAAGATTGATAGAATCGATTGTGATTATTTACACATGCTTTTTCTAGTAGGATATATATATATATATATATATATATATATACATAAATATATATTTGTTTAAATCATAACGAAGTTGTATCTATAATAATGAAGTTACATAGGTACCACGACACTGAAATGTTTTTACCAGTATTGTTGCTAACAAGTAAACATTTTAATAATATAACTTTTTTATTCCAGAACGGACGCAAAAAATACGCGCGTATATATTTTATATAAAAAAAATACATGACACTTTTTCCTTCTCTCAAATTTAAAATCTTCCAAGAATTTTTCTGTTGCGCGCAACTTTTGTAAAACGCATATGGTATTGTGTTCGCGGCGATACACGTCAAAATCTCGATTTTCTTGCAGGTGCCGACCAGTCATCCGGCCCGGCTTTTCTCTTTCATGAATCCATTGGCGATCGAGATCTGGCTTTACGTACTGGCGGCGTACGTCCTGGTGTCGGTGACGATGTTCGTCGTGGCGCGGTTCAGTCCCTACGAGTGGAACAATCCGCATCCGTGTCACGCCGGTTCGGAAGTCGTCGAGAATCAATTCTCCTTGTCGAACAGCTTCTGGTTCACCATCGGGACTCTCATGCAGCAGGGCAGCGATCTAAATCCGAAGGTTTGCGCGCACGATCGCTTGTTATTAATTAATATTATTATTATCATTATCATCATTATCATTATTATTATTATTGTTGTTGTTGTTGTTGTTATTATTATTATTATTATTATTATTATTATTATTATTATTATGTAGCTCGAATATGCGTGTGATTCGGTATGAAGACCGAGCGCGGAATAACGGGAATTATAAGAACATTATTAATTACGCGACTTGGGATTTACCGCGCGCGCATAAACATCGTAATTGGCTTCATAAACAAACTAATTACAATGTGTTCCGCTCTTATCTGCGCGTAACAATAGCTCGCGCGGTAACTCGTGTAATAGCGCGCGCTCTTGTTTAGCGTGTATCCACGGGACTACATCGCGAACTACACATTGTAGAGCTGGGGCTACTGTTTGAGCTGTTTTATGTTAATACAGTAAACCGGCGCAACGAACCTCATAATGATTCTCTACTTTATTGCAAATTCTCTCGTGATATGTCTACGTGTTCACACAGAGAGTGAATATTTTTAACAATAATTAGCAGCGCTAAATTATTTACTCTTAATTACGTTGCCACGGTTTAATCAGGTATATATATATATATATATATATATATATATAGATGTCTCTCTCTTTGAAAGACCGTTCATTTATTTATTTCACGCACGTTGATTCTTTCGCAACAAAACACACTTTGCGCAATTTTCTCAGCGCGGATAGAACATTTCCGCGAGAATATTTCCCCCGTCGAAGAAATATATTCAGTTTTTTTACTCTCGCGGACTTTCGAATTTTTTTGTTTGTTTGTTTGTTTTTTTTTTTAAATTAGTTCTCTCAAGAGAATTCAAACGAGATGAAATACGTTAATCCTCCGGATTGTGAGGACGAGAATGTAAGAAGATATTAGATTTTCTCGGCGCGATAAAAAATTAATTACGATGCAATTGCAAATGCGTCGAAGTCATTACGATAGACGTAAAGCGATAATGAGATTTGAGAAAAATATCAAAAAGAACTTTTAATTTTATTACGTACGAGACTCTCGTACGTAATATAAAATCTCGTTTAATTAATTACTCGTGAACATTAGGCGAGAACACAGAAGTTAATTAAAATCCGCTTTTTTGCGACGCGGTGTCGATGAAAATGATTCCCTTCATTCTCGCAGGCAACGAGCACGCGCATCGTAGGCGGCATATGGTGGTTCTTCACTTTGATCATCATCTCGTCGTACACCGCGAATCTCGCGGCTTTTCTCACGGTCGAGAGGATGATCACGCCGATCGAGAACGCCGAGGATCTCGCCAGCCAGACGGACATCGCATACGGAACTCTCGACAGCGGGAGCACCATGACTTTCTTTCGGGTGAATATAAAATTTTATTTTCTCTCTAACGAAAACGAAGAGTGGAAAACAAAACCACCGAGAGTGTTTCAACAGTGTTGTCTTTTGTTTAATTTACACGGATGGTTGTGCCCAAACCATTTCGACCATGTGGTCTTCTCTTCAATGCTTTGACGTTAATTGAAAGCGTGATGTACGTGATCTTATAATAAGCAGCCGAGGTCGAAGTTGTTGTGCGTGTCAAGTGTGTGTTGTCAAGTTCGCAATTAAGTCACAAGCACATAATTAATGGCAAACTCATCGACCTCGGCTTTACACGGTTAAATTACAACTAATTGTAGTTGTAATTGCGCTCGGACTCCCGTTGATCTTTTTTTTTTTTTTTTATTCCTTTTTGTTTGATAACTTCGGAGCCATCACCAATTTTGATTCAATAAAATTTTGTCATCTCTCCGGGATGAAAAAACAAGAAACAATAACGGCAATATTTGTATTATTTTATGCCAATTGTTTTATGTAAATTTATGCGCATTGATTCTGACGAAAATAAAAAAGCTCTCTTCGGTCTTTTCCTTCGTATATTAAAAAATACTTTGAAAAATATGTTTCCTTTGGATAAAAAAAAATCAATCTGTTTTGAAAAATATGTTTTTTTTAACGATACGAGAAGCAGTCTTGTTTTACTTTACATGCAATCCGACGTCATTTTGATATTTCCAATTAATTTTGCGATATAAAATTTACAGGCTGTTTACTATTATCGATTTGCACGGTTGCATCGCGCGGTCGATGCAAAAATAAATTATTTTACCTTTTTTTTTTTTCCATCACGCCGCGATTTTTGCGAGAGAGAGTTTTGTCAACAATTAGTTATAAATTAATTTCAATCGCTCTTCGTAAAATGCAAATGTGCGTGTGGTTCTTATCGTTCAAACTGTTCAAATCTCAAAAAGGATTCGATGATCGAGACGTACAAAAAGATGTGGCGGTTCATGGAAAACAAGAAACCGTCTGTGTTCGTTCCAACCTACGAGGAGGGCATTCAGCGAGTTCTTCAGGGCGACTACGCCTTTCTGATGGAATCCACCATGTTGGATTACATCGTTCAGAGAGACTGCAATCTCACACAAATCGGAGGTCTTTTGGACACAAAGGGATACGGGATCGCCACGCCTATGGGTAAATGAAATAACTTTTAAATAAAAAGTTTTAATTAAAATACACTTTTGTTATCTAAACATTTTGGTTTGTTTTTTTTTAATTCTCCAATTTTTGAATTTTATTTGCAAACAAAGATTTACATACATGTACGTATTTTCGATATCTCGTTCTATTCAAAAATCGTAAAAGTTTAATTACAATTTGTATATATATATTTCTCGGTATTATTTCATTTATTACGTGAATATAACGCAGAAAAATAGAACGCTTTTGGTTCTCAATTAATTAAAGGAACGTGACTTGTTTTTTTTTTGTTTCGCGTTCATGTCGTTTTTTCATGAATCGTGAAAAATTCCGCAGGCTCGCCGTGGCGGGACAAGATATCCCTCGCAATTCTCGAGTTGCAAGAGAAGGGCGAAATTCAGATGTTGTATGACAAATGGTGGAAGAGTCCCCGTGATACTTGTATGAGAACGGAGAAGGGAAAGGAAAGCAAAGCGAGCTCTCTGGGCGTCGACAACATAGGTGAGTGCTTTTTGCAGAATAGCGCACACACAGGATCTGAATTATATGCTTCGCGAACTTTTCGTCGTAAAGTCTCGCAACTCCAAGGTCTTCCTCGTTATCGTTGCGGACATTTTTTTTTATTGCCTTATCATTTATATTTTATCTCTCTTGTCAAATTATCTTCTAAATACATAAATTTCGTCAAAAATTCTAAAGTTTATCCGCGTTAAAATTTATTTCATCTTGTTTTTACATTTCTCGTGTGATGAACAATGTCGCGCGTAAAAAAAAAAATGTAATGTTCAATATAAAAATTGTGAAAGTCTCTAAAGAAACTGTTGTGTTTTATATTTTAGAAAATTTGTGATATCCGTATTTACGCATAAATATTTAATTATTTATACACACACACACACGCAACATCGAGAGAAATTTATTTCTATTAAATCTTTTTTTCACCAAATATCTCACGTTATCTCGAACACATCTACGTGCTTCCTTGTTGTTCTTTTTTTTGTTTTGTTTTTCTAGGCGGAGTCTTTGTAGTGTTACTCTGCGGCTTGGCATTCGCCGTGCTCATAGCCATTTTCGAGTTCTGCTACAACTCGAAGAAGAACGCGCCGACGGAACGGGTGAGTGCGTCGACTTCAAAAATCTGAACGCTCAAAAAAAAAAACGCTTTCGGTTTTTTCAAGTCGATAAATCGTCGTTAGCACGTTCACGTTGCACGACTTTAATTTTACCAAACGTCGCGTCAACTGAATTTCGACTAAAAAAAAAAAAAACATCACCGTCACCGTGAAATTTGCGAAAATCTTTTTTGTGTTTGCAAATTTGTTTCTCAAATTATCCGTCTTGTAATTGTCGATTGTTGAAAATATTCGCAACAACAGCCGCACCTGCGTCGCAAAGGAGAACAAATATTGTTTCATATTTTCACCTCGAAATGCGCTTATTTTTAAGCAAGACGATTGATTTGATGTACACACTCTTACATAGAAGTAAGATGCGAGCATGGAAAACACTTGCATGACATTTTCCTAAACTTTGTTTCATCGCCACGCCGTGGATTTCCGCCGTATCAGCATGAGCTCATCGTTCATTGAAGCATGCTGCTCGAACTGCAAGCGTCCCAAACCCAGTTGCCAAGAAAGGTCCGTTCCAATATTCAGACAATTTTGTGAATTCGCTCATCTCAGCACAACCTCGCGTTTTCTTTTAGCTATTTTTTTTTCTTTTTTTTTTTGCGTATAAATAGATGTTGCCAAAGTCTATAGCTTGACTGACTGTTCGCGCTCTCGAGTGCGATTCTTATGCGCGTAAATATTCATTTCTCGCGTTACTGCAGAGGCCTCCGACGCCCATCTCCGGCTCTCTGCAAGGAATCTCTCAGGCCGTGCAACAACAGCAGCAGCAACAACAACAACAGCAGCAGCAGCAACAACAACAACAACAACAACAACAGTGTCAGCAGCAACATCAGCATCAACAGCAAGAGTCACTTTGCTCGGAAATGGCACGCGAGCTCTGTCGCGCTTTACGCTGCCACTCGTCGTCGCGGCGACGACGAACCTGCGACAAGTGCTCCACGCACGTGATCGGCTATTCGCCGGACAATCCCACTGCCACCCCCATAAACGGGATAAGATCCCAGGTTCGGACAGTTCGTTCCTCTTTTATCCCTTAATTTCTTTCTCTTCTTTAAACAATAAATCATTAAAATTGATTCTGTCACGAGCGATAGGAAAAGAAATGCCGCGGGATTTGTCGGTTTCGTCGATACAAGATTTATCTCGCAAAAGTCTCGGACTGGAAAAGTCTTTCCGGAGTTACTCGAGAGTAAATCCACCAGAAAACTATTTATTCGAAAAACGAGCTTTAGATCGCATTGACGTAATTTTATTTAAAAAAAAAAACTAAAAACTTCTACTCGCTATATGTGTGTGTGTATTATGTTTCAAGATGTGATACACTCAATTATATATTTTATATTAATCGAGCTTCTTTTCGCATTTCCATGTTCCATGAAACTTGTAATTGCATCTAAATGCTCTTTAATTAACGTGTATCCGTTGAGCGGATTTATTTCCCCGTCAGAGAGAACGCGCGCGAGCGCGAAATTTAATATCTCTCTTCATTCTTTCCATCGAATAATTTAATATCGCAAGATTATAGAGAGATTTGACTAGCGCGGGCGATTAAAGGATTAACGGGGAAATTTCATTGAATTTTGTGTTAACAACGTTTCGTTAATCGGCGTTGCCGCCTAGTAGCAGATTTAATTCGATTAGTTTAGACGTTTAGGCCATCGAAACCGAATACCGTCGGGCTTCGAAATTGCGTATCCGGCTGAAAATATCGTTAACATATCTGTTACGTAATTTTCAGGAATCAAATTTACATTAAATCTCACGTAATATAATATACGAGATAATTTTCCAAACATTGATAGTCTTGTTAGAAAATTCGATCTAATTTTTATCGCAAACAAATGTGATTGTAATATCGCACAATATTTCCCCCCCCCCCCCTCATATCTGCTAGGTAATTTTTCAGGAATTAAATTTATATCCGATTTCACACAGTATGGAGATGATAATTTTTCAAATTAATGCTCTTTGAATATAAATTATATCGCGAACAAATGTGATTACATTATATCGCGGCGTTTTTTTAAGAAATTAGATATGTTATTTTTTTTTTTTAATTCTCGAAATGCAGTAATTATTATATTACTTATTAATTATATTAATTATATTAATTATATTAATTATTATATTATCTTTGCGTGATATGTTTGCAGAGGAGCAGCCTGGCCGTACCCGTAGTCGACCTGCCTCCGCACATCCATATACATCATCACGCGTCGTCGCACGATTACGACGGCAATTAGAGAAAAAATCGCGCCCTCTCAAGAACACATACACACATACACACACACACACACACGCAGCGAACACGTCAATCCACGTTATCCAGAAACAAGTACAAAAATTATCACGCGTTTGCGTGAGAAGAGGAAGCGCAATCACAATTCGATTCCTCGTTGATGTTGTCGCAAGTTATCGACGTTCTCACTTAATAGACACGTCTGCACAATGTATTAATCGAACGTTCGTTTCCTCGGCGTTTGCGAGAGGAAAAGAAAATTAAAATTAAAAAAGAGCTTAAACAAAAAAAAAACGCATCTGCGATCCAACGGGCGCCCCGCTTTTTCGCACATTCGATAACAAGATCCGTCGGGAAATCGATACCGCGTGAGATTGTGTTAATGGTTTTAAACTCTCTCTCTCGAGGCCCCCTACGCGAGTTTTATACTATCAATCAATCCGCAAGACGGGATAATAATCCGTTCCGAGGCTAAAGTATACGCGCTTACGATCAAGTATATTCGATAGAGGCGGGCACAGTTGAGATGGCGTGTGACTTCGAAGTCTTAAATTAAAAAGTTACAACGCGATTATAACACGACCCTATCCAAGGGGAAAGTTTCACGCGATGTGATAAAAGATCGACGTTACATAAACGTTAGTACTTTTAAATGGTACTTAGTGCTCTATTTTCCCCAGCGAGAAGTTGTCTGTGCGTTAAACGAGAATTAAAAAAAAAAAAAAACAATAACCAAACCTGAATGTATCTTATGTAAACAAACTGTGTGTAAAAATAATAATAATAATAATAATTTACTTCCAAAATTATATTTTCGTTGAAAACGAAATAAGAAGATGCGCTTTGTAAGAATATTACGCGATGTACAAAACACATGAAAGAGGAGTAATCTGTTCGAAAGTGAGAGCATGACGAGAATTCTCGAGGATTTTTATCGTTGCGGATCTCTTTTTTTACGCGCGCGCGCAAATCGCTTTCAATCTCGTTACGATCACTGCAAAATAGCGGTCCGTGGTATTAGAAACGGTCGGTTATCCGATCGAGACGTAATATCGGTTCGATTAAGAGAGAGAGAGAGAGAAGAAGAGAGAGAGAGAGTAGTATGAACCCGAAAGTTAGACGAATGAACAATCCTTCCGTTTCTACGAATCTACGATGGCAGATCTATTCGCGTCCGACGCACGCGTTCACGCTACTCTCACGCACGAGATCAAATTCGTTGCATACACACGTGTTCGGTCCATGCACAGAACAGAAATGTTTGAAACACATCCTTGTAAAACACACGCGCGTTCTCTTTCTACGAGAGAGGCTGCCTATAAAGTGTAAGGTATATTTATAATTAATACACACATACTTGCGTGAAAATCTGTAAATATCGCCGCGTTACAAAAAAACAAAACAAAACAAAACAAATTCGTAACGGAAACGTATTTTATGCAAATTGAGGCGAGTGAGTAATCCGTTAGCGCTAATCTCAAGTACAACTTAGACACTCGATGTTTATGTAATGTGTGCTGTAACATGTTGATAGTCGGCGAAATAAATATAAGACGAGAGAGAAAACAAAACACACATTTTTGTCTTCCCCATTAATCTCGCACCGCATGAAGAAGCGATGAAGAAATGAACGCCACATCGGTCTCCGAGGACTTTCCGTAGACTTTCCGTTTAGGCGGCGTCGGTCCTCCCAGACGCTGTGTATTTATTTTCACATTGTACGCTCGCCCGAAAATCGGGGAAAATCGACACTTACGAGACGAAGGCGCCGCTGTGACTCAGAATTCAATTTGCACTCGAAACACGCTTTTAACGCTAAAAAAAAACAAAAAAAAAAAAAACAAAAAGGGAGGATAAAAGGGTGCGAGAAATGAAGAGAACGCCTTCCGCTCGTTTGCCTTTTTTATATAACATCATTTATTAAGGGATAAAATAAATGACAAATAACATATCACTTATATGAAACTATAATATTTCTTAGTGTTCATTATTCGTTATGATATAAAAGAAATCACATTACATACGACCCCGGCCCCCGCCGTTTCGGCGACCGCGCGGGAACGCCGCGCGGCGCGCAATCGCTCGTAAATAATTCGTCGCGTTTTTCAAACACACGACACGACACGTGTGACCGACATCAAATCCAATTTACGAGAATTATACATGCGCGATAATCGGCGAAATTCCTAAGTGGATACCCCTCCCGGGGTAGGGAGGGTCGCGAGAGAGCTCGCGTCGGCCCATGATAAGATTAGGCTACGACCGCCGACGCTTAATCGAATCAACGTGACCGAGATGTTACGGCGAGCTTCGCGAACAGGAATTTCCCACACTCTTTCCGAGTTTCTCTTTCTTTCTTTCTTTCTCTCGTGAAATTTATTCTTCTCTGTCCGTCGGTGATATCGACGCGGATTGACCATCAACCGAAAGGGTGATCTCGCTTCTCGATAATATAATCGCGCGTCGATATTTTTTTTTTCAAGACTAAAATCTCGAGCGTAAAAACGAGAAGAACAAATATTCAATTTTTCTTTCTCCCCCGGTGTTCGAAAGGGGTGAAGAGTTTATCTCTCCCGCAAAAAAAAAAAAAAACCATCGACGCGCAATTAAATGAAAGAAGAAACAATCTTTCCGGTGATAGTAATCCGTTCGATCGCGTCAGGGGGGTGGGGGCGGTTGGGGGTCTAGTCATTTCCATATCACACTTCCTGGTGGCATGTACTATTTTTTTTATATGCTTTTTTTTTTGTGACTTTCGGAGGTGGACACTCGGCTGTGCACTTGACCGGTGCACTTTCTCTCTCACTCACGCATTCTTTCTCCTTGTCCCTTCCCCTTTCTCTCTCTTTCTCTCTTTCTCTCTCGTTCGAGAGTTCGAGCCTGTTCGAGACGAGTTCAGAGCGCGCACGCTCTTCAAAACTTACATAAGGTTCTTTTCTTTTTTTTTTTTTTTTTTTTTTTTTCAAATGCTTTCCTTGGCTTCTTCTTTCCTCTTTGTTCGCGCTCTTCCCCACCCCACTTAAGATTCTCTTCATTAACAAACCACGTCTCGTCTCGACTCGACTCGAAATCTCGATACGCGCTCTCCTTCGCGCAGATCCAAGTGAGAAACAGAGGACGCAAAAACCGCGAGCGCGATCAGACAACGCGAGAAATAGAGATCTCCGTGTTTTTTTCCATAGACGCGAATATACATCGCTTGTAAGAAACAATTCTTTCATCGGATGTGTGTTACAAGATATCGCGAGGAAGGACGTCGCCTTTCAAGGATCTTGTCGTGAAAATCGGAGACGCGATTTACTCGGTGTGTCCGATCGCATTTTCGGGTTTTGTGCCTGTTAAAACGTTCGCCTAAATTCGGCGCGCGACTTATAATCGTTATTACGTAAACACATCTCGAATCGTTTCCATAATTTTTTCTTTCTCTCTCTCTCTTTCTCTCTGTCTCTCCTGTTCTCTTTCTCATATCATGCCTTTCTCTCTTTCTCTCTCTCTCTCTCTCTTTCTTATAAAATAAATCGCGAATTTGTGATTCGTTGCGCAAATGTGATTTTGCCGCAGCAATAATCGCGCCCAAAATTCGATGAGAATTTTTTCGTCTCCGCGATAAGAAAACCTAACAACGACGAACGATACAGAACATAACACTTTGTAATCAACGATACATATCAACCTTCTCATTAGTATTACAACGACGATTCCTCTTTCTCTCTTTCTCACGCGCGAAGTTTGTCTTTTTTTTTTTTTTTTTTTCTGTCTTCTTGTTTCGGTCTTTCTCCGTCGCGATATTACACTATGAGATCAATCGTGAACATATAACTTCCGCCCGCAACAATCGCCGTCTTTTTTCTCACTCTCTCTCTCTCTCTCTCTCTCTCTTTTTATCTCTTATTATCTCATCAAATGACGCGAATAACGAAAATCAATGGAAAAGATGGAAAAGTGAGGTAAAAAAAAAAAGCAACTATAATTCGGAATAATAAAACAGATAATAGTGATAAATAAATAAAAAGTGGTTAGTGAAGAAAAAGATTGAAGATATAAAAAAAAAAAAAAAAAAAAAAAAAAAAAAAAAAAAAAAAAAAAAAAAGAAAAAGAGCAAGAGAAGTTAAGAAAAGAAAGAGAATTGTTTTGTGAACTCGAAATCTCGCACTTCTCTCTCTCTCTCTCTCTTTCTCTTTCTCTTTCGTGCTGTAAGAGCACATTATAAATAAATAAAATTCTATATAAAATATAAACTTTGTTCTTATTTCAAATAATCAAATGTATCATAAGAACATGCTCGTATATATATCACGTTTATAAAAGATTTGAAAAAAAAAAAGATGAGATAGATTTCGATGCTCTAATGTATAAAATAATCCGCGTACGGTGATTGTGTATTTTATATGGGCGCGCGCGCACACACATATCGAAATCTACATCGACATTTATTTTGCGCGGAATAAAAACAAAACAAAAATAAAAATAAAAATAAATCAACGTATTAATAACATATATAAAAAATCATCAAGAATGTGAAATCGTGAGTAGTAAAAAAAATAAACAAATGGAAAAACAACGCGTGAAAGAAACGCGTTCTTGTGTTGATGCGGCAAATGTACGTTCGAACGACGCGATTCGCGCGTAAAATATAATATCTCTCGTCGTGTGTGAGTAAAATGTATCGAACATTCACGATTAATACAGAATTTCGAGAGTGTTACGGTTATTATTATGATTATTCCACTATACTGTAAATCGCTTAAATTTTTATACATATCGACACACACACACACACACACACATATATATATATATGTATATATATATATGTATACTGACAAAAGTCGAATAATCGCAATGGTAAGTTCTTTACATGTCTCTTTGGCTTCGACTTCGTATACGAGCAAAACCTCTCTCCCTCTCTCGCGTTGTGAACCTAATGAAAGCGATGAATCTATCGTGAAATTTAATGATCTACATACATATATATGTGTATATATATATATATATATATATATATATATATATATTTATATATCATATTATCATCGCGATTTCTTCGTTGACTGATGATTCGACACGTGTGTGATCTCGCAAAAAGACGAGAGAGGCAACGCCCCCACTGGCTTTTGCCGCGATCGAAAGAGAACAGAAGAGAGACAAAAAGACACATGTACGCAAAAAAGAGACGGGGAGAAAAGAAGGAAGACAGAGAGAAAAAGAGAAGAAAACTCTTTCTCGAAAGAAAATAATTTAAAAAAAAAAAAAAAAAAAAAAGAAGAAGATTGGAAATACAGAGAGGCCTTTAAAGCGCGACAAACTGCAAAAGCGTTCGCCGCGTTTGTTTCTCGCGAAATATTGCCCTCCTCTTCCTTCCTCCCCCTTTCTTCCTTTCTTTCTTCCTCCGTTGTTACTCGCGAATAATACGGCAATACGGTGTGACATACACAAAGCAAAGAGAGAAAAAGTTCGATCGCTAGAGAATTATATTGGTTCTTTGCCTCACGCGGTTCCGGACGAGACGTGTGTTTCTAAGCGACGCTTGTATACGAGACGCATTGTTTTTTTCTCTATTTTAAACTCTCGGAGTGATATGTAAAAACGTCGTCTAAGGAAAGAGAAAGGAGACGCGTCGCTTTGTTGGTCAATAGGTCTCGCGCGGTTACTATCCATTGAGTTTTTTTTTGTTTGTTTGTTTTCGTTTCGTACCTGCGTGCGTGTGTGTGTGTGTGTGTGTGTGTGTGTGTTTGTGTGTGTGCGGATGGTGGCTCGTACTTCTGGAACGCGATTTCGCGTTCGGAGCGAATCGAGATATCGTCACTGGTGCGTCGGCTTTTGACAGAGATCCAACGATAATTTGCAATAATTGAGGATAAGAGTTTGGTGTAATCGCTTAAAAACAAAAAATAAAAAACAACTTTGCTTGACACGTAAAGATACACGTAAAGATACACGAAAAGATGGATTTTTTCACACTCGCCGAGATGTCGATATAATTAATTAAATCGAACGAGTGTGAGATTCCCGTGACAAGATTATTCAGAATTTGAAATCATCATCAGAACTCGCATTCAGATTACACCAGGTGAGAGAGTATTCGCTTATCCGTCAATCGTTCGCTAAATCTCTCGACGAGAATTCACCGAGTGAGACAAAACTCGCGTTTCGAAAAGTACGTGCGTAAACGACATCTCATGTTGTTGAGATTAAACGTTCGCGGAATAACATCGATGTTTTGCGTACGCACGCGCTAACATGCACATAATGAAGAGACACACCGTAATTACAAACGCTACACATAGAATCGCCAAACTTCTGTGGTTACGAATATATATATATATTTTTTTTTTTTTTTTTTTTACGC